TGACTCTTGTTGGCACATTACATGTGCACATCACAGAGTGTCCGGACGCCAAGTTCCACCTTTTGCGTTCCGTCAACATTACGTTATAAATTAAAATTTAGAAAATCGATTTTTGATATTTGTGAATCGATTCAGAATCGTCCACACCCGCATCACGATGCATCTAAGAATCTATTTCCTCCCCCACCCCTAATTGACCTCAATAAAAAAAACACAATATATGTAATTAATCTTCTCTTATTCATAGCAAACCACCATATTCGCACAGGCAAATGTTCTAAGCAAAAGCCAAGTTTTGTTATTTTTTATAAACATATATATATATATATGTTTTTAAAAAAAGTCCAGAAAACATTGCTTTTTTTGCCTGATATCTGAGATTTACTGTTTAATATTCACCTAAAAATGTGCTTTTTTGCATCAGTTAATTTCTACTGTGTTCTGTACTGCTGTTGACCTGTCATCGCTGTCATTACTGTATTTTTTGCTGTACTGTCAAAATAACAATTAAAATACATCAATGAAATGCAAAGAAAAAATGTGAAGAAAATTTTGCCAACCATTACAGAAAGTGTGTACAAAAAGGCTTAAAAATGAGCTTCTTTAAACAGCTCTTAAGGCCATGTAGACCTAGGTGAGTTAGCCCCCTCCACTGACCGCATCAACAATATGTGGTGACTAATTTTATAACCCATACAGAGGGACTATGTGCTCTGCAGCAGTAGCTATGACCAACACTTGGAGAAGAATGGAAATAAGAGAATTTTCCCCAAGTTTATCTTGTGAAGTCTCTACCATGCTAAAGAGGAAGCTGGGTAACCAGATCTGGCTGGAACAATAGTAACACCTATGCACCACATGCCACAATGAAGAGCTTTCGGTTTTAAGTGGCTCTCCTGTTATACATTTGAGACGACGGCTGATTAGAGATGCATACAGTGCACTTCAAAAGTCAAACAATTTTTTGGAATACAGTGCTGTACACCCATCTTTAAAAAAATAAAAAATAAAAATGAAACTATTTATCTTGGCAGCAAGGTGTCTTTTGTTTTGTAAAACACTACATACTATTAGAAAATTTAACTAAACATAAATACAATAAAAAGTAACATTATTGTTTTATTTGTTTTTTCAAAGTTAAGTTTGGTTCTTTATTTCTCTTTGCACTCCAGCCATTGTAGGGAATTTCACATTTGTTAAATTTCATCAGTAATAATTATTATTTGCTGGAATTCCTCTGTGAGAGCTTTGGAAATTGTTAACCTAAAACACATAGTATATCATAATGCACTGATTATTTGTATTTATTCTAGTGTTGGTGTTTTTGTCAACAAATAAACACGAACTGCTGAGAAGACTCTTTTATGATCTCTGTGAATTTGTCATGTTTCTTAAAATTTCTTCTTTTGCTAAAATAGTCCATCAATATTTTAAAGTCAACAAAGTTATTGTTACTTTAGCTGTCTACCACAGCATATTGGAGTTGAAATGAATGGGAGCCCAAAGTGCAGACATTCAGCTTTAATTTGAGGATATTTACATCCAAATGTAAGAATGATGTAGGAATTACAATGTAGACATACATACGCCCCTCATTTTTAGGGGCTCAAAAGTAATTAGACAAGTGGCTGCTTAGCTGTTTCATAGCCAGGCGCGTGTTATTCCCTCAGTATTTCATTTACAAGTGAGAGATAAAAGGTGTAGAGTTGGTTTCAAGTGTGTCATTTGGATATGGAATCTGCTGCTGAAGTCCAAAGAGCCACCAAAGCAGGCCATCACTAGACCAAAAAATCAAAACAAACCCATCACTGAAAAAGCAAAAACACTAATCGACTATTTGATACATTTTTTTAAAAGAAGGAATGCACTGGTGATCTCAAAAACAACAAAAGTCTACAGAAAACAACTATGGTGGATCGGTTTTTGTCCTGCGCAGAAGTAGCTAACACCTCCCTGAAGCTGACTGATGGTTTTGATGTGTTAGATTAATGAGATAATGGACAGATGCGCTCATTACCTTTGACTCTGATTTTGGGGTGTTATGAGGACACTGTAGCTCCTCTTCACAGTGGAGCATGAGCATCAGCACACTGCCGCAGATTTATCAGCGCGGCTGCAGTTTTACAGTGAAATGAAGGAAGACAACAAACTACAACCAAAACCTTCACTAAACTGTGCTTTCTAACGATTATATACGACAGAGATGAAGCCGCAACGCTGCCGCTTAGCACTGTTTCTGCTCGCGAGTCAAGCTGCAGTGTTAAAGACCATCAATCAATTATAGGAAGAAATGTTCAGGGTTTTAACATCCTCAAATTAAACGCAGAAACATTCAATTTGCTTGCATTATTAATTTTAGCCAGTTAAAGTTTTATTATTTCCACAGTTTTCATTATTATATCACCAGCGTAAACAGAGGATACCATTAGTAAGCCCTTAAAAACAGGAAGAGCAGATTAGAGTTTGCCAAAACAAACATCTAATGTCAGTACAGTTCTGGAACAACATCTTATTGATTGATGAGACAAAAATCAACTTGACTGCACCAGAATGATGGGAAGAAAGGAATATTGGGAAAAGGATGATGTAAAGCATACTGCTAAAGCAAGCCAATATTTTTTTTAAGGCAAAGAAGTGGAATGTCTGAAGGTCAAAGGGCCCAAGAACAAGCAGGAATTGAAGATAGCTGCAGTAAAGGCCTGCATCAGAGAAGAAATCTAGCATCTGGTGATCTGTTGGTCATTAGCTTCAAGGGATTGGCAAACAGCTACACTGCCAGGCCAATAAAAAGTCACCATTTGGATGTAAATATTGTAAATATAAACTGGATTGAGACTCAGTGGGAGGGCCACTGAGGAGCAATGAACTCATTGTCATATTCATGAAACCAGTCTTAGACAATTTTTGCTTTGTATCATGGTGCATTATCATGCTGGAATTTGCCACTGGAAGATGGGTTAATTGTGGCCATGAAGGGATGTACATGGTCAGCAACAATACTTCAATAGGCTGTGGCATTCAAGCGATGACTAATTGGTATTAACAAACAAAGAAAAGTGTGCCAAGAAAACATTCCTCACACTTCTACACCACCTCCACCAGCCTGGACTGTTGACACAAGGCAGGTTGGCTCCATGGGTTCATGTTGTTGGCATTAAATTCTGACCGTACCATCTGTGTGCCTTGGCAGAAATCCAAATCCATCAGACCAGGCTACAGTTTTTCAGTTGTCAACTGTCCAGTTTTGGTAAGCCTGTGCCCACTGCAGACTCAGTGTTTTGTTCTTGGCTGACAAAAGTGGAACCTGACATGGTCTTCTGCTGTTGTAGCCCATCCGCCTCCAGGTTCGACGTGTTGTGCATTCTGAAATGCTTTTCTGCTCAACACAATTGTCTAGACTGGTTATTGGAGTTACCAAAAATTGCAGAAATGAGTAGGTGTACAAGTGTTCATAATAACATGCTTGGTGAGTGTATATCTTTCAGCATTAATGGTGCCTTCACAGATGCAAGTTACCCATGGCATGTACGGGAGGCAAATCTGGCCAAAAAAGAAATTAAAACAATAAAATGTAAATGCAAACCTCTTTTTGCTATAAACAATCTGAAAGATTGACTCGTAAAACCACAATACATGTTTCCACTGTGCATCAGTCCATTTCAGATGAGCTCAAAGTCAGCACGGCATCTGGACGTGGTTGTCATATGGCTTCCGCTGTGCACAGTGCAGTCTTATCTTGCATTTGTGGATGCAGCTACAAACAGTGCTTATTGACAACGGTTTGTCAAAGTATCACCCCATCCATCAAAGAAGCATGCCGGTTTTAAAAATAGTGCCTTCTGAGGGATTGAAGGTCACAGGCATTCATGTGTGATTTTCAGCCTTGTCCTTTATGCATAAAGAATTCTCTGGACTCCCTAAATCTTGAAATGATATTATGTACCTTAGAATGAGAAACAACTAAAAACTCGCAATCACTCGTTAAGTGTATTTTTTAAAGTGGCAACCCTTGACTGTTCTTGCTTGTAAAGAACTAGGCCTTTCCTGGATGCTCCTTTTATACATGATTACATCAGTTCTTTTAAAATGTTTTTCGAACATTTAACAACATTCCTAGTCTTAAACTGCCCCTGACCTTACTTATTTGGAACATGTTGCAGGGAGAAATTTCAGAATGAACATATATATACAAAAAAGTAATGAAGTTGATAAGACAAAACATTAAATATGTTATTTGTACTGCTTTAGTTTAAACACAAACCAAAGTGGATTTATAAAAACACCGCTTTCAGTTTTTAAAAATTATTTAAAAAAAAATATATGTAAAACTATAAAAAAGTTGGAAAAAAAACGAATAAAGTAAATGTGGTTTTGTGTTTAGAGATAAGTTAAGTAAGCCTAAAACCAGTCCAATACAATCATCTAAGAACATGTTATATTTTTAGATGAGATCATAAAATCTTTTAGATTAGATGATAAGATCAGTGTTGATTCATTTATGTCCTTACTTGGTCAAAAAAGCTGGATTTCAACAGGCTGCGCAGTACCATCACACATCTAATTTTGCACAGACTGGCCAAAAAGTCCCTAGAAAGAAGAACTGAAAACTGCTGTAAAAAAAGCTACATTCATTTAAAGTAAGATCCTAGAAAGACAAAGAAGTAACACAGTTGATTTAATAAGAGACTAAATTCCAATTTTGGACCTCTTAGAACTTCATCTGTTCCTGTACTTTTACTCACCTGCAATGAGTGGACTGACCATTGTAAAAGGCTTTGTTTCGAAAGAGTGAAGCACAATTTGCCTTTCCCCCAAATAAAGAGAACATTCTGAACCGTCAGGTACTGAAAGCATGTCATCTATTAATTCATTCATTCATTCATTTATTCCTTCAGTACCTTATCAAGTAAGATAAGTGGGAACACATTCTTTTGTGTCTTACATGACAAATTTAGAGAAGAGTACTACTACTACTAATCTCCTTTGGAGTATCAGTTTCTTATCATCTTTCAGCAGTCATAATGTTCACCATAGTTACAACTAAAAAGTCTGCTTGTTTCAAAGAGCCAACCTAAATCAAAATAGTCCAAAAACGAGAAGTAGTGATGTAATGCTTTGTGGGAGGAGTGCACTGTTCCTATTTATGAAAGATTTTGGAATGTGGTTGCGCACAATAGTGTCTTGTGAAAAACTCCAGAGCCATCTTCAACACCACAGCACATCCTACAGCGGTCTCCGGAGGGCAGTCTAAAAAGAGTCCAGCAGAAGGTAAAACAACACCCGCAATACCGCTGATATCTCTAAGACACTGTGGATTAGTAATAACACGATAACGAAAACAAGCAATTTAGTCAAAGTAAGTCAAACTCCCAGGCTTATTACATCCTTATTAACTCACTGACTACATGGACTACAATGCAGTTTCTAGGGTATATAGTGTGTAATTGAAGTTTGGACCTGCCAGCAGATATTGGCCATTTAAAGGGTTAAATACAGTAAAAAGATAGTATTGTGTTTAACCTCACTAATTACGTGAAACTGAGATTAAACACTGGAGATCATATCAGGACATTAAGCTTTATTCTTAATGTGAAGGCAGGCACAGTGAGTGTCGATCTTGAGCTCACCTGAATAAAATCATCTAAACTCAAAGCAGCCGTCAGCAGTAGCTTGCTATCTGCAGATCTGTGGACTCCTAGATATGCCATGCTACTACTAAACACAAAACTCGAGCAGATTGTTAAAATCACTAGTAAGTGACACTGTAATCTTCACTACTGGCTTGTTTCTTATTAAGACAATGAATGCTGTGATGTCATTGACTGAATGATCCCCAGCAGCATCCAGTCACATGTGCTGTAGCAAGACTGTACCATCTAGAGAACCCATTGATAATCCACATGTCATTTGGGATTCAGCCACATCCACACTCCACAAACAGTGCACTATTTGGCTAAAGAAACTAGGATTTAAAAACTCTGGCTAAATCTCAAATGGCTCCATGCGATGACAATATGACAACAAAATGAATAGCATAATAATTGCAGTGCTTTTTAAAAGTAGCATGGTCACATGCATTATTAAGCCAACACTTGACTAAACCACAGTGTAAACAAAGGTTTTTATTAATAAAGTAGGTTTACTTTTTAAATACTAAATATAGGGTTCCTTATGATTGTATATATATATATATACACAGTCTTATTTTTGCTACGCGACAGTTAAAGTATGCAAGAATATTTTCCGTACATATATAGCTTTATTTATGCAATAAGCTATGAGAGGCTGTGCGTACCGTGATTTTATCACAGGGAAGAACATTTGGTCATCCATCACTGTATACTGCAATCATTTCATGAACTTTTTGTTGTATAATAATGAACATATCATTACATAACACTGTTTAATGCAAAAGCCGTTGCTTTATAAGTAATTTTAGGTCACAAAATTACCACTGCAAGTCTTATTTAGCACCAACCCAACGGAACACCTCTTCCCACGCAGAACTTAAATACTGGCTCTTGTAACCCAACAGTGTATAATATAGCTAAAAAATAGTCAATGAGGAATTTCAAAACTTACATGACACACAATTTAGGGAATTTGGAGCCATTTGAGATATACCTGGAGTGTTACAATTTTTGGTTCTACAGCCAAATAGAGCTCTATTTATGGAGTGTGGATGTGGCTGAATCCCAAATGACTATTTTTTTGGTTATATTATGCACTGTTGGAAGGCAGAAGCCAGTATGTAAATTCCTACTTAGAGCACTATATAGGGAGCAGGGAACAGGGAAAAGGTTTTCAAGCAAAAACTTCTTGGGGAAAATATACAGTCATAATTACTTAAAAAGTGAGTTTTCCGCTGTGCAGCTATGTTAAGCAAGATGTGTGGCAGTCAATTTTTTATGCGGGACCAAATAACTTGTAGGACCAAACAAATTAATTAATTAGTAAGTTAACTACGTTAATACTACACAGAATCAAAATCTGGTAACAAGGTGGTGAAAACTAGTGGAGATCTTTATTTTTAATATTAAGGATTCTTTGTTTGGTTAAAAAATATTTATTTGAGCACTGTGGAACATTTAGCAATAGCTATTTATACGAATACATGTTGCAAATTATTTATAGGGTTTTTGGATGTTCAGTACAAATTTCAACCCAATCCAGTAAAAAATAAGCATTTTGTGAGGCTTAGAACACACATACAAAGTCGCAAAAATTATGAAAAGGGCCAAACTTGAAAAAGCTATACGATTTTTGCAAAATCCTATGAATTAAATAGAAGTTTCCACATGACTGTTTCAAGAAAAATGTCATGAACTCAGAGGGCTACTATTTTGAATTTATTTTCATTCTGTTCTGTTAGTAACATCACCTGTACTGCTTTGTGAGTGGTCACACCTCACAAACAGAAAATCAGAGCCTAACAATTTTCTGTTCCTATACTAGTAGATGCTAGAGGTACTGAAGAAGTTATGCTGCTGTTTTAAAAGTTATGAAGTAATTCAGTAGTTTTTTTTTCTGCAACCTTGTACTTCTACTTGTACTTCGACGGTGTTTTGTGCTTTTCCATTCACTGCAGTCATTATTTCACTGAGACAAAAAAAAATATTTAGGCTACTCTACCTCTGATAACAATGAATGTAATCTAAATGATAAATGCTAGTAGATAGTGGAGCATAGACATATGTCACTGTATGGCAATAAAAAAACTAAAAATCTATGTAGCTGAGAATTCTGGCTTTGCATATTGGTGTTTATAATATAAAAGACTGAAGACAAGTCCACATCGAGACAAAAGACAAAAAAGCAGGACTATACACAAACCAATAATAATGCAGGTGTCACGCTTCCGGGTTCTCCTCCCTTGCCTAGCACGCTCCAGGACTGCATTTCCCATAATTCCAGTCCCGATGACATGACCAATTCCTCCAATCACATGCAACTGCCTCGTTCTCGGTCACCTGATTTCTATTTCAATTCACCTGTGCTTGTGTTTGTCTAAGAGCTTAAATAGTCCCTGGTCTGTTCTGCTCTTTGTGAGGCATTGCCAATTTCTTGGACTACTGAGTGGTATTTTTCTGATTGTTTGACTTGTGCCTTGAACCTTTTGCCTGCTTTCTGGATTTTGCTCTTTTGGATTTGCCCTTTTGCTCTGGTTGCCTGTATGTTTTGGTTATTCCGGTTTTTGACCCCTGTTTGGTTTTTGGACTACGATATTGGATTTACCCTGAGATTGTGTTTTACTTGGACTTACGTACTGACAACTCTCTCATTAAACAGACTTCCATTTTTAAGATCCGCAAGCGTCTTCTTGTGTTTGTGCAGCGTTACAGCAGGCTTAACTTAAACCCAACCAACAATGCAACTTCCTAATAACCTATAACCTATATGCTCCCACTCATGACAGGCAAAGTGTATAACCCAACTAAGATGACATCACCAAGTTAAATTAAACTCTGACTGCTGAGATGTACACAACTAAGAAAAACAACACCAGCAAGGCTGTAGGATTCAAAGCATATTGCCATGATATCATATTGATCAGTTAAATATTTGCTGGTGTGAAAACACAGAGCTCCATTCCTCTGTGTTATAACTGACTTACATCTGACTTGAGTCACAATCTTACATCCTAACATCCACTGTTTTAGGGAGTGGGAAACAAATGTGTTGCAAACTTGCATGGATATCTCTCTTAAAAGCTAAGTGCTTCAAACTAAACTCACTTTTAAAGATGCAATGCCATGAAATTCCTAAACTTCTTGCTCTGTGAGGCTCAGTCACACTGTGCAGAACCAGCATCTGCGTGCAATCATGTTTGCCATCAGCCAGATGAAAAAACAGGCATGCAGAAATGTGTACACAGGGTTTTGCAGATAGAACTGACAAAGTAGAAGATATCAGACACTGTTTATGTAAAGACTATTAAACAAGTACAAGCTGTCTCAAGACACACTAGTTTTCCTCAAGTACCAAGCCAACTTCATTAAAGTCAGCAAATATGAAAAATCCTAATGCATTTTTTTTTTCTGAACAGCATATTTCCAGGTGAAACAAGTTATGTGGGGGTCTGAACTAGCTGAGTGTTTCAGCTTGATCATATTTAGGGTGGAGGCAGGAGGAGGTAAAATACGTTATTATTGGTTATATACTGGTTCATGGTGAACAAAAATCTGAAAATATTTTTAAGGCATGCAAAAGGCATTAAACTTCAATTAAATAATACAGGAAAACAGGATTTTTTTAAATGGAATGCTGAACCGTGCATAATATGACCAGGGACGTGAACTCAGCAGGAAAAAAAGGTCCATTTTGATTTCAGGTTGGCTATAAAATATACAGAAGCTGTGACACTTTGTTTCTTTGGATTTCCTGTGAATGAAGACAGAAGCAAGCAAGCACTGCAAACCCTGCCCACCAACCCTTCAGCTTTTTTTTCCACTTTTAGAAACCCTCTCATCTCATTGTTTGAAACCACCTCATCTGAGTGTGAGTGCAAACAGATAACAGAGAGGTTCAAGCCTGGGTCAAGGCAGCAACCAGAAGGTCCAGGACCAAAAACACAACAACACACAGCTTGTTCAAGACTGAAACTGTAAATGCCATCATAATGAATGCACCTTATAGCCAGTCGTGACTCGTGGCTCATGTTCATCGGTGGTGCAGCACAAACTAGTGATACTAGTAATTGTAGTGACATTTTTTACTGATTTTTTTTATTGATCTGATCTTATCTCTAAAAGTGGAAGACAAATGTAGGTTAGTGTGTTGATATGATGAAAAGACCAAGATCTAAAGTCTGAGATGAAATTTTGGAAGCTAGCACTGAGTACATATAGCGAAAGATAAGTGTACATTATGAGGTCTCTCATGGCTCTTTTAGATACACGGATTGAAAGACATGAAGCACCACTCTTCCATACTGGCTCAGGTGCTCTGCCACTCCCTGATATCCTATACAATGAACAGCAGTTTTTAATGGATTAGCTAATGTTACATATCCTTACTTGAACTGGTACTGTAAAGTAAAAATAAAACATTTCCTAGTTTCCCTAGTAGTCCTAGTTTTATATCTATAGTAATGCTTCTAGGAAGTCTTTGCCCTGATACTACAGGGTTAATGTAAGCCAGCTAGCATGCTAGTAGTCATGCTTTGAGTCAACGGCAACTAAATAAAGAGCCATTTTTTTCCATAACCTAGCGAACTGAATTCAGCCCACAGGTCAGCTTACAAAGTTAGTCAAAAGATGCTGTCTGTTTAGCCTTGTACAGCATGTCTTACAGATGCACGACGACATCACCAAATCAAATCAGGAGTTTCATCTGGTTGGCATAAACAACCAAAAAAAAATAAAAGAAAGTGGTGAAGGACCACTTTGTGTTCACATGAATGAAGACTATTATGTTCATTAAAATGAAATATAACAGATATTTAAAGTCATTAAACAGTATATTTTTCAAATAACAGTGCTTTTTTGGAGATCATGAGGAGTTTCACATCTGCTGAAAAGGTTGATAGATGAACGCACATAAGCAGTAACTAGGAAGATATTTGGGGATTTTGTCAATTGCATTCAGAAATGTTATTACTAAACCTTTTCTTTTGTCATCATAAGACCTTTCCGAACTTTCAAAAGTTTGTGCGAATCCAGAAGCCTTCATCAGCATTTGCATGCACATGCAAGTTTTGTAGAGAAGTCAATACCTTGCATACTCAAAACTGCCAAAAGTCTAGGTGTGTGCAAACATAACCACAAGATGAACATTATTGCCCAGAAGCTGTTGTAGCAAACCTGAGTGGTTACGTTTTCTACGACACAGCATTAGCTGTTAGCTTTGCTTCTTAGTTACATGAATTTGGTGTGAGCCAATCATGTGATTGCTATGCTCATCTCAAACTTTTTTACATGCAACATGCTCAGAGCCCCCTCACTCCTCACCAGAGGAAGTGTGAATACCAAGACCTCAAACACCTATAATATCTCATCTCAGTTTTGGCTTTTAGCCCCACGGGCCAGGTCCATCATCCAGTTTTGTGAGTATTTGGTGTTGTTTTCTCTCTGGCGTTGTCCCCACATGGGAATCTTTGAATAACTTAACATTTGAATTATTTATTACAGACAAGGGAGATTTTGTTTACTGCAAGCACTGTGCTTTTATTGTACGTTTTTTTCTGACCTGTCTTGCTCTTCTGTGGAAAAAATGTTTTAACTATTCACCTGAATAACTAAGACCTTCTTACAAGGTGCTACAGAAAGCAGTTTAATTTTTTTCGGAGTAATTTTTGGAATTCACATTTGGTCACAAAGGTTAGCAAATGGTACAAAAACTATGTTATTCAGAATAGCAGTGATGTACGTCAGATGTGGTTTACCCAGCACAGATGGCTGGCTACAGACGACTGCCTTATGACATTTATGCTTTTTTCTTTTTTTTTCTGTATTGTCAGTACAAGTAAGACTGTTCAGTGTTTGATCAAACATCAGCGATGGAGAATGTAACCAGTACTCATTGGGAAATGTCAACAGCCAGGTGAGAACCTCGACTTATATCTAATTTGAGGCGTGCTATAACACAGTAAAGTAAAATACACTTTCAGAGAAGCTCTGTTCTGCACTTGTATTTAAAGAGGCTAGATCTTTCAAATGAATGTCACTTTGTGTAAAATGTAACTGTAATTTTTTTATGTACTCCTTTCACACCTGCAGTGTAATTTCCAGTCTCATTACCACCTTATCACTGAATACTAGTGAGGTGATAAAGACAAATGATTCCCTCAATGCTTCTTTATCAAGGTGAGGTGTAAAATTTGCTTTTTTTCATCAAACTCAGTCAGCAGATAAACTCTTTTTAAAAGTTTTAAAAATATGTTTATCATCATGAAATTTGATCAACAAAGCCTTGAGAAGAAATTTGAAAATATATATTAATAATAAGGAGTTATCTTTGTGGTAACCCTTCTAATGTGCTTGTGCAATCCGTCAATAATTTTCTCTTCAATGTTTCCAGCACTGAACTATATGACTACTCATATTACTACAGTCTTGATGACCTGCTTGACCACGTACCCTGTGATTACGGAGGCCACGGAAACCGTTTCCTACCAGTGCTCTATTCCCTGTTCTTTGTGGTGGGCTTCCTTGGCAATGTGCTCGTAGTGTGGGTCATCAAGGTGGGTGCTCAGCTGAAAAGCATGACCGATGTGTGCCTTCTGAACCTGGCCCTAGCTGACCTGCTCCTGGTCTGCACTCTTCCCTTTCTGGCCCATTATGCTAACCACAGCTGGATTTTTGGGGAACCCATGTGCAACATGGTCCTCGGCATTTACTATGTCGGGTTCTACGGTGGCATCTTCTTCATTGTGCTGATGAGCATTGACAGATACTTGGCTGTGGTCCATGCTGTGCTTGCTCTGAGGGTCAGAAACAAGGCGTATGGGATTTCGGCCAGTGTAGTTATCTGGATCATAGCTGTTGCGTCATCTTTCCCCGAGCTGTATGAACTTGGGGTTGAAGAAATCAATGGAGACAAACTTTGCAGTGCATATCCAAACCATGAAAAAGACCATAACTCAAAAGTCATTGGCCTTTTTAAAATGAATGTTTTGGGCCTGCTTGTTCCACTAAGCATTGTGGGATTCTGCTACTCAATGGTGCTGCGGAGGCTCCTCACTGTTCGGGCATCCAGGAGGCATGCTGTGCGCCTTGTCATTGTGGTCGTGGTGGTCTTCTTCTGTTGCTGGACACCATACAACATTGCAGCGTTCCTCAAAGGCCTGGAATTGAAGAGAGTCATAGCTACAGATTGCAAGAGCAGCAGCAGGATTCAGGTGATCCTACAGATCACTGAAGCCATGGCGTACTCACACAGTTGCCTGAATCCCTTTCTCTACGTGTTTGTGGGAGAGAAGTTTAAGAGGCACCTCAAAAGGCTCCTGCGCCACACACCATGCGTCAAGCTGAAGTTCATGAAAGACTACCTGACCCAGGCCACAGGGTCAGTTTATTCACAGACAACTAGTGTGGAGGAGCGTTCTACTCATATTTAAACAAGAGCTCTCAAAGATCCAATCCAATATCTCATATCACAAATCAGGTATCACTGTAAATGTATGTGCTTTCATTTTACGTGGCTTCAGATGAGCTCTGTGTGTTATATTTCTATATCTCTGTACAAACAAAACCTGTTGTAATGCAGCATCAGAATACTGTTATATGTCTCTTTGTGAAATGTTCATCATACTTATGTTCTCATGTAATACTGTAACTGAAATGCTTTTTCTAGGACTGCATCTCCTGAAGTGAGGGGAGTTTAAAGGGTGGCTGAGTGAAAAATATGTAAACGCTTTGTAAATAAAACTAAATATAAAAATATGCAGTTGCGATCCTGACTTTTTAAGCAACACAAACCAAGTGTTGTACATGTTCACAATACAACCAGTTATTAAAGGAAAGAGTAAAGGAATTTAGATTGTTTAGAATAAATTAGGACATACATTATCCAAGTATGCTGTGCAGTAGATTTGGTTGTGCATGTATATCCAGCGTGTTTTTTTCTCCATTCAAAGCCAAAAACTGGTATCAGGCTATGAAGTGTGAATCTGGGTCAGACTCTCAACCGCAGCCCCTTCACCGTCGACACCACAGAAACAGGTTGAAGCTGTTTGTGCACACTTTTTACAATGTTTTCCCATGCACTGAAACCCTTACCCAAAAATTAACTTCACTATGACATGATGGTATAGATAACAACGCCACAAACTTCAGACAAGAATGTCTTGTGGCAATGTAGACTCAAATATGGTTTGTTTTGTCTGACTGATTTCTGTCACTCAGCCTACGTTGTATTCCAGATAGCTGAGGTGGCATTTTGAGTTCACAGTTTTACCACACACCTGGTAGCTGCACTCACATTCCACTTCATTAGAAACCCCCGTCTTGTTCTCCCACTCATAACTATACTTAATGAGGTCCACCTACCTTACAGGTTAACTAAACTGGTGTATAATTATAGACTGTAGACCATCTGTTGAAGCACAATTTCAACTGGGCAATGGGCAGAGCAGCCTACACCCAGGCTCCAGTCAAAGTTACGTTACTTGAGTGAAAGAATGACTTCAGTAAAGATAAATTCGCCTGTCTGAAAAAACAGAAGTACAAAAAAAGAATATCAAATCCAGCATCTGTCAGCACAGAAACTGACATTCTTCTCTTTTTGATACACACTTGGTCTAAAATAAAATGAAAAATCAGAGGTGTGACCAGTCCAGTTGCTAATAGCAACAGAATGAATAGGAATTAGGAGCTATATGGTTATGTATATGCTTAAACATAACTAGTAGACTTCTTTCTTTATAGGTAAACATGAGTTGAAGTAAAAGTATTAGCATTAAAATACTCTGGAAAGTACATGTAACTGAGTGAATGGAACCTGTTACTACCCACCTATGGTTGGGGATTTTTAATAACATGGCTGGGTGTATTTCAATCTGAATATGATGGCGAAAGTTTAAGCATGTTAAAGAAGTAGATGTCTGTACTTTGTCCCACCAGTCAGAATGTGCGGGGTGGGATAGGGAAGTGATAGCGAAACGAGAGGACTGCCTGCTTAAGTCTTCCCAAAAGCAAAACCTCCTTTCTCTGAGAGTCTGCAGAATGCAGAGCTGGCACATCATGCTAAGGTTAACTCACACCACTGCCCCTGACGTCCATGTGCATCAGCCATGCATGTTCAAACAAGGTGATTGTGGTATCTTTCCTGCTAGAAAAAACATTTTTGTCCAAAATCTAAGAGTGTGCCCACTGCTACGACATACGGCTAAAAACAACCATTAAAAAGCAGCATTTAATAGTTCCCCCAGACAAAACGTCACCACTTGCTTGCATGGCTCTGTTTTTCAGCAAAAATCTATTTTTTGCCAAAAAATATTTATCTTTATTAAATAATCTGATAAGTGCACTCGCACAGTTTGCAGCGTTCCGTGCAGGATGACGCTGTAATCACACAGTGAGCAGGCTTTACTTTACAGGTTTCTCGCACACACACTAGAATGATTTGTGGAGTAGTTTTATATTACTGCTATAAAACAATAAATAAATTAAGTGAGTAGAAGGGTTTAGTCATCTGAGGTACCCCATACAGTGCTGTGCAAGAGTCTTAGGCAGCCATGAAAATTATTTAAAACTATTTATCTTGTTTTTTTTTGTTTTTTTTAATAGGGATGTATTTACCAGGAAAAAAACAATATAACATTAGAACAAATACAAATAAATATAAATACATTGAACATGTAAGAAAAGAAATTCTTCTTTTCAGGAAAATGAGTAATGTCTTCGTTAGGAGAATACAAGAACAGGAGAAATGGGCAAAGAGATGGATTCCATTAACAACACACCTGATTTACTTTATTGAAGGACTGATGAGCTAAAGCAGGCATCTTCCGGCTTCCTTGAGGAGAGCTTTAGAAATGTTTATTTATTTATTTGTATTTACTCTAATGTTATAAATAAATGTTAAGTGCCTAGATAAATCGCTTTGCATATCATTTTCTCCTTTGCACAGCACTTATTGCTGAGCTCACCACACGTCTGTAATGTGTGGTCTAGAGGAGGGCAAAGATACGCCGCGGCAAGCGAGTCTGTAGGTGAGGGAACCTCAGAATATGGTAACGTGACAGCAAAGATGTCACAAACTGGAAATTTACCCCATTCGGATAATAACGCAGAAACAGATTCACGTGCACCAAACTAGTCACCACACTGATTCATTTGACATTCAGAAATGAGAAATGTACTTCTCCCTGCTGAGGGACTATCCCCACACGCAGACATATAAAATGTTGCTTTAGTGCTTTCAGCTGCGAGTTAACCGTAGTTGTCAGAATATCAACACAGTACATGGAGAGACTGAGAAAGAAAGCAAACATGTGGCCTGACACAGGAATCAGCTGATATAAATACACCGCTCTTCACACCTTTGATGCACTCTGACGTGTCATGGAGAAAAAGAGGGTCTAAGAATATCAAAGATGAGCAGCATTTGACACCCTTTTCCCTTTAGCAAACCGCAAAATAATCTTCATACATCCCTTTCCTGTATACAACATTAAGTCTTAGTGCTACTTCTACTACTACTACTACTACAACTACTACTACTACTAATACTGATTTAAGAGTCGTACTAGGTATTATTATGTGTTATGCGCACCAAGTCCTAAAAGTGGGTCACCACCACTATGGCTTTGTTTAGATGTGATTGGCCAGTGCAGTTAGTGTTCAGGGGCAGTGGTGTGAGCTTATATAATGTGCTACCTAAGCATGCTGCAGACTCTCAGAGAAGGGAGGTTTCGCTTTTAGTAAAACTCTTGTTTCGTTATCACTTCCCTATCCCACCACCCCCACCCCAACATTCTGGCAATGCTAAGAAGAGGTAACGATATCTACTTCATTAGCAAGCTAATGCTTTCTGATCACACAATTTCTGACCACATAATGGCTCTATACTGGACAGTTTTGGACAGGGAACCACCCTCCACTCTCGCTCCTTTATGCTGTGTGCTTGAAATTTGGATAACCTAAAAATCTTGCTAGTTTATTTTCTGATGATTTTTATCACAGCAGGAGCTTATTTTTACTTCTGCTCTGCTCCAGCTCATCTCCTCAATCTGTTCCAACATAGAGGGCTGTATTCCCCATTTACCAAACATAAAAGCACAGTGTGCAGGGTGGTGGGGGGATGGGTCAGGGCAGGCTTTGGTAACTAAGTGGCAAGATGGCTTTTACAAATTGCATAGTTGTGCATATTCCTAAATCTTCTTAATGAACGTAAAGGTTTAGATGTGCCACCTTTAGTAGTTTCCTAAGCATAACAATAATGCATAACAATATTTAACTATTTATTATTCAACATAAACCCTATTCAAGCTGGATTAGTTTTACCTGGGGAAATGCTGTAGTCTCAGAGATCACCGAGCAGATCCATGATACAATACGAATGTGCAATGTCCACAGTTTTGTCTGCTAAGCAATCATTTCAGAGCTAATCCAGAGCTAAATATCTACTGTAGCACTATTTGAGCTAGACTGTTTTTACCAGAGGAGGTCCGGTAATGTAATTTGTGAATTAATTGACTGGCTGATTCGTTAAAAGAGCTGTGTTTATTTGTGGAAGACTGCAAGAAATGTCCTTTCATGAATGTAGTTCAGCTTTACAAAACTCCATGTCAGTCACTTGCAGTGATGCTTTTTGAAAGAATATCTCAAGCCTATGGCATTGGTTCATCAGAACTGGCATTTCTGAGGCAAACGGACCAGTGTAGAACATATGACAGTTGTGGCACCAATGACTGGCATGACATCTGCAATGATGGTAAAAAACTCAGATCTTGCTGCAGCCAGTGCTCCTTGCTGAGCATGTGCAATGTGTTCACACCATAGTGTAAACTTCTCAGAAAATGAGCTAAAGCTGAAGCCACCTGTAAACCCATCGTCTGAAGTGTCAAATAAAGTGAGAACGGAGCTAAGAAGTCTTAAACACTTACGTCAGCATGTTTTCATGCTTCTGTACCACAACATAAAGAACTTGGGAGGTCTACTAGCTTATTCTCAGTTTTGCTTTAAGTATGAAGGGTCTGAATACTTCCTGATTAATTTTCAGTTCTGTATTCAGTTCAAATTAAAGAATTAGTTCAGCTTAAAGTGTACACAGCTGTAAACAAACATTACTCAGCGTTGTTCTTTAAATGTGTTATTAACGTACATCACACAAACACTACTCAGCGCTTTTCTTTAAATGTGTTGTTAACATCATACAAACAAATGCCATCAAAAAGTGTTACTAACATCAGATAAACAAACATTACCCACCGCCGCCCTCTAAAGGTGTCATTAACAAACATATGATGAACGAACATTACTCACTGTTGCTCTCTAAAGGTGTATAAACAAACATTAAATAAACAAACATTACCCACCGCCGCCCTCTAAAGGTGTCATTAACAAACATATGATGAACGAACATTACTCACCGCCGCCCTCTAAAGGTGTTATTAACAAACATCAAATAAACAAACATCACTCACCGCCGACCTCTAAAGGTGTTATTAACAAACATCAAATAAACAAACATCACTCACCGCCGTCCTCTAAAGGTGTTATTAACAAACATCAAATAAACAAACATTACTCACCGCCGCCCTCTAAAGGTGTTATTAACAAACATCAAATAAACAAACATCACTCACCGCCGCCCTCTAAAAGTGTTATTAACAAACATCAAATAAACAAACAAACATCACTCACCGCCGTCCTCTAAAAGTGTTATTAACAAACATCAAATAAACAAACAAACATCA